CGCCCCTTAAAAACTGTGGATATCTCTGGCGAAACGCGTAACTCGGCGTTTGTGATTTGATGGAAAATCCACCGGAACTCCGGAGCAAATCCAAGCCCGACTGATGCTGACGGGGATACTGGCAGAGACCCCAAAAGATGAGATGCTGACGGGTGCTACACGTAGCCAATATTTATTCTACCTTCTGGTAAACGTTTACATAACTATGGAAAGATCCACCATTTCTAATGGAAAAACTCACTATTTCAACGGCCATTTTCAATAGCTTTTTGTATGTTTACCAGACAGTACATACACCATATGAAATGATTAAATCGCCAAGTGTGACGGTTGAACTTGGCTCAATGTTGGCTCAAAGTTTGCCGATGAACGAAACCCCGAAGTGTTCGGATTGACGAGTGACACAGAACCCCTGTTTTTGGAAAGTCCGAGGTGCATGCAGATCTCTCTTGCCGAAACATCCTGGTGAGCCAGCTTGGAGAGGACGAAGAAAGCACACCTTGCCGTGGTCACCCTACGGTACTTTTGGCAATGGGAAATCCCAAAAATAAATGGAGGTTTATGTTTGCAAAAGTCATCGAACATATAGCCATGTTTGATGACACCGGAGGGCAACCTGTATTCGAATTCGTGAAAATCGACAGTGATTGGCCCCATGACTAAGAAATGACTGAAAGACTCTAAACTGGGCAAAGCCAGTGCTCACAGCAGTGGAAAAGTGGAAAACATATAAAACATGAACATATCCTAGCCCCTCAGTCGTGGGTACAAGATGATTCCCCCAGAAATCCCAGCTATGTTTGTTGGTTTTTGTTTCAATCATAAACCTTCAATGGACCTTTAGTCGAACCCATCGCCGTCCCGTGAGATGCAGGATGAGTTGCAGGGAATAAGCGAAAATTATGATGTTTGATGGGTCATCAGCGATTTATTGGTTGGAACCAAAGCTATTGTTGAGATTACAACAGATAACCAGATAAGTTGAGAGCAAAGCTGTTAAAAATAGTGTTTGGTCAGTTAAGTTGTGAATCAAACCCCTTACTGGGATTGGCGCGAAAGGACAGATGGGAACTCAGTCCTTGTCCCACTGGTTGACTCATAAAGGGTCACCCATAGTCAGCCGTCAGACACACTTACATTTAAAATCATGACATGCCATGACTGTGTAGCCAGCTCTTGGCAAGTGTTGTGAAAACGCAAACGTTGAACAGGGGTGCTCCAACCTGTAGGCAAATCATATCCACAATCTAGGGGAAATGTGTCATGATACTCCTTTCTTTACCCAAAAAAGTGTCTCCCAAAACGTACCTGTGGCCTTGGACGCGCTTTTCATCTATTGGAAACCCAATGATGAACCACAAGTTGACCAAGAATGGGTGAAAAACAATCCCCGTTACCGTGGGTTTACCTCTTTAGATTTAACATAGCCATGGAAAATAGCCCATTTATAGATGGTTTACCTATTAAAAATGGTGATTTTCTATGGCTATGTTAGTCATAACCAGAGGGTACCATGCTTTACCACATCCTGAACCAGGACCCAGACAGCATCCAGGTGAAAGTCGGGGGCCTTAGGTAGGGCCCTAGGGGCCCGAAGCGGTTGACTTTTTCGCTGTTTCATGGGCTCCAATGGTGTCCTGCCCGGCCAAAAAAACACCGTTTTTTGTGAGATGTCTGTGATAGATAAATAGATAGATAGATAGATGGATAGATGGATAGATGGATAGATGGATAGATGGATAGATGGATAGATGGATAGATGGATAGATGGATAGATGGATAGTTGGATAGATGGATAGATGGATAGATGGATAGATGGATAGATCGATAGATAAATAGATAGATAAATAGATAGATAAATAGATAGATAAATAGATAGATAAATAGATAGATAGATAGAGAGAGATAAATAGATAGATAGATAGATCGATAGATAGATAGCTAGATAGATAGACAGAGAGATAGATAGATAGATAGATAGATAGATAGATAGATAGTTAGATAGATAGATAGATAGATAGATCGATAGATAGATAGACAGACAGATAGATAGATAGATATACAGTACATATATATATATATACAGTACATATATATATATATACAGTACATATATATATACATAAGGTTGGTTATGGACTGGACACAATAGAATCTGTTTTCAGTTTGATAGCTTTGCGATAGGACCAATCGCATTGACACATTTTGTTTTGTAGAATGGGTCAAGATAGTTTTTGTCCCCAAAACCGGAAACACCGATATTTTTGTGTGTCTTTAGAATTGGATATACCATGATTTACCTGCAAATTTCATCAATTTTCATAGGGAAAATGATGGTTTTCAACCATCCAATTTGGGGGTTTCCCTCCAAAGCAAGGGCTTGACGTCCAGGCCCGGCCCCATGAATCGCTGTTTTATCGAGGTCACCGACTTTGGGCTTTCCTGTGTCCTCAAGGAGACCCTGAAAAGGCGTCAAAGGTGGTTGGGAAATCCCGTGGAAATGAAGGCTTGTAGCCTTGTAGCTGAGCTACCAGGAACATCATCGAACTAAATGGGGAAAATCATCGAACTAAATCTGGTTGGTGGTGACTGGAACCATGGAATTTTATGACTTTCCCATCATATTGGGGATAATAATCCCAACTGACGAACTCATATTTTTCAGAGGGGTAGGTCAACCACCAACCAGAAATGCTGGATTTTCAAGGCAAGCCATGGTTGATTATCGGAGGGTAATAATATTCCCCCAGAGTTCACCAAGTTATAAGTCCACTTAGCTATCGTAGTCATTTTGGATGGCTATTCTATTGTTCAGACACATCCAAAATCATATTGTTGGTGTTTTTGTTGTATACCGATATATCCCCATGATATTTTTTAAAATTAATTATAATGTATTGTATAACAATTTATGATAAAATATTATATTATATCATATTATATTATGCTATTTAGTCTAGTTGTATACATACATATATATTATATTATATCTCATGTATCCAATTTGTTTAATCACCTTGGTGTCATTTGTGACCCCCATTAAGTTAGTACTGATACCCCGCCAGTTCTCCCCAACGATAAAATGAACGGATCAGATCTGCAAGGAGGGTGCTGACCATGAGATCAGGAAACAACCAATGGCGGGAATCCCAACGACCCAACACCAAACTGGATGGCTTTGTAAAACACAATCTATGGATTTATGAATAATTTATGGATAATTTATGGATAATTTATGGATAATTTATGGATAATTCATGGATAGTTTATGGATAATTTATGGATAATCTATGGATAATTTATGGATAATCTATGGATAATTCATGGATAATCTATGGATAATTTGTAGAAGAGAAAATGACGGATAAATTGGATTGAGTAGTTGGATGATCTATGATTATATGATGGGTTTCATTATAAAAACTTTATGTGCTATAATTTGCACAGTAAAGTTAATTACTAAAATCCATCATCAAGTGGATCAATTACCATAATTTTTTATAATGTATCATCCAATATGATTTCAGTCGCCATAAATCTCTGAGTAATTGGATGGTATGTAGTTATTAATGGGATAAAGTCGAGATAATCATGGGTTGTAATTGCCACCCTAGTGGATTGGATGATTTTATTGGGATATATTTGGATGACATTGATCATGACCTCACGTCGTGACGGAATTCTGGAATGCTGCTTTAGATTCTGTAGATATTAGGGGAATTTTCATCTTCGTGAATAATTACAATTCAGCCAGGTAAATGGGAATTTGTCCAAGCAGTTACAAAAAGGAGTGTATGAATATTTTTAATTACCCTCTGGTTATTTAACATAGCCATGGGAAATGGTTTTCCTATGGTTTTCCTATGGTTTTCCCATTGAACTCGTCATTTTTCGATGGAAATTCGTCATGCTCCATGGGAACCAACTCCCTGTGGCAGCCACGCAGCCCAAAGTTTCTTGGGGATGATCAGCAATGGTGGTTAATATATGTTAATCTTCACATGTTAAGCCATGTTTTTCCCAAAAAATGATCAGCAATCAATGATTTGAAAGGTGAACATGGATGAATTTATATGAATTTGTTTCGCAATTTTGGGCCAATTTTATCGGCGTGCTGAGGCTACTAGGTGGTGCGCCCCACAGCACTGTGCCTTTCAAAAGCGGGAGGCCCTGAGATGTCGGTGAAAAACGACTAGCACATCTATCTTAGGGCAGTTCCCAGTCGACCCGAGCAAAGGATTTCATCAACACAACTGCGGATGTGGGGCATGTGATTTTATGAGCAACGGGTAAAGGATTCGGTAAATATGAGTAGGAAAACCAAATGAGGAAAGATTGGTTCATGGAACTTGTTTCGCCAGTTTCATGGGAAAATCATTTCATCAGCTCAGAAATGTGGTTACATTAGCCATGAAATTGTGGCGGCATTGTCGCGGCAAGTGGCCTTTATTTGCAGTTGATCCTTCATGGGAGACTGTTTGAGGGCTTGCAATACCTCCAACATCAATCTGAAAGATGACCACGGCACATGTTGTTTGCCAAAAAATCGCACATCTGGGAGGTCAAAAAATGATGGCGAACAATGAAGGGTTTCATGCTCAAAATGGTCAGAAACCTGTGGGTCCATTGGTACATTTATCGACCTCAAGATCCGGAAGATGATCTGTTAAGAAGATGCAGGTTCCATGTTAAGTGATCCGGGGAGTGTGTCCATAGATGTATATACCGTATACATCAATAATTAATCATATTTATATATATACATACAAGGCATTGGCTTAAGGACCCACTCGGTTTCCTTTCGCACTCTCAGCCTTAGCGGGACATCTGTGCCGGTTCCCGCGGGCTCATTTGGAGCCTTTGCAAACGGCACTCGCGCTTGCACCTCTACCTGGCGGACACGGTGGCCTTCTACCTGTTCGGCTAGGTGGTGTTTCGGTTCTTCTACCTCCGGATTCAGGTGATCCTCTACCTGTTCGGCTGGGTGGACCGCGTGGTGCATGTTCTTTGTTCTGGCGCACCTCTTTGTCCTGGTGTACCTCTTGGTGAACCTCTTTGTGATCGGCGACGGCCAGTACCACACAGAGGAGAGCATCGCGCAGAAGGCGCGCACAGGCCCGACGTGCCTGGTTTTGCACAGAACTGGACAGTCGCTTCTCAACACGAAGCAGTTGGGAGTGGTCTACAGAACCTTGCAAAATCACCACTCAGGCGACAAGTCTTTCCTGCGCCGGATTGCGAGCGCAATGACCTCCTCTACGGCGACAGGATGGCTTTGTGGCACGTGCCGAAAAATGAGATCGCCCAATGCGTGGTACTGCGACCTATGTGGAAGCTCTTGGGAAGAATGCGCTGTTCCTACAGCCAACCAGAGCAGTTCTACATGGGCACAGCCGAACAAGAAACAAAGAGAGAAGAGCCAAAAACAAAGAAGACCAAGATCGCGAAAGAAGAATCACCAATGGGAGCAACAAGCACCCTATGGTCAATCGAGTTCATGGGGAGGTGGTCCATGGTCCACGACCTATGTCACAGACAAAGGGCAGGGCAAGGGTGCACAACAGATGCAAGTTGCTTCACCGCCGCCGCCGCCCCCTCCAATGCTGGCGCCGGTACCTGCACAATGTCATGCACCATGGATGCCACAACAGATGCCACAGCAATTGCCCCATATGAACATGATGCCCTTCATGCCGCCTCAGTTGGATCAACAGGTGATGCAGACTGTTCCACAGCAGGCTTCTATGAATACCCTAGACGTGGAGGACGTCAAAGCAGAGACGAGTGCGCAGACCAAGCTGAACAAGATCATGAAGGCAGCCAAGAAAGAGGAGCACTTGTCTCCGGAGTTCCAATCCTTGGTTGCCACCGAACGCAAGAAAGACGACAAGGAAAGCACCAGCAACCTTGTGGCTGCGGTCAAAGCACATGGAAAAGCCAAAGAAGCACTCATGGAGGTGGAAAACTCGCGCATGCAGTTATGGTCGCAGTGGCGTGTCTTTCTCCAGGCATCTGTGACCAAGTGGAAGGAGTACACGGCGCAATTTCAAGCGTCGGAGACAGCCTTCCAACATCAAATGCAAGCAGCTACACTGCATTTGAAGAAAGCGCAGAAAAGAGTCGACTTGGCCAAGAAGCGTGCAGATGCTATTGGCAAGGAGGACGAGACTCTGGAGATCTCGGACGACGACATGGAAGAGAACGAGACAGACTTGCCAGAAGAGGAGGAGCTTCCAAGAGACGAGAACGCGCAACGAATTCAAGAGGGATTGAATCAGGTTGTCACGAGTCTCTCATCCCTCTCCGAGTCTGCCGACAAGCTCGAGCCCAAGTCCAAGCGTCCCAGGACCAGAGAGGAAGAAGATGCTCCTCCTGGCTCCAAGGCTATGCAGCCTTTTCACAAGGCCGATGCTTCATGACCGACGAGTATGATCATCAATGGCCACAGGTGACGTGCTCCCCTGATGCGGCATTATTGCACTGGGGACACTCAATTTTGGATGAGCCTTATTTCACTTCCCCTTGGAACGCGGTAGAGAAAGCAACAGACCTGGCATGGGAATTGGGAATCCCCTGTGCAGTACGTGTTGATACTCTGGTGCTGCCACCAAGTGTTGGAAAGAAAAAGAATTGCCACTCAGTCAGATTCGAGGACTATGAGGACAGCTTGAAAGGGAAAGTAGAGCTGGAGGAGTTCCTGCCTCGCACCCACTCCCTCGAAAACGAGCATTTGGCGCCTATCTTCTACAAATGGCCGAAACGACCCCTGCCAGAGCAACCACCTGAAGCAGGCCGTCACCAAGCCCCAAGATCTTCCGCTGGCAGCTCAAGTCACAGACACTTCCTGGACAGGATCCTCCCTGATGACCTGCCGGCGTACATACATCATTTGCAGACTCTGTGGAGAGACGAACTTTTACGACTTCCAGCAGAACAGCAATATCGATTGAGAACATGGTACATCCACCACTTGCATCAGCCCAAATGCCGTACGCCAAGAGCTGTCAAGCTCACGCATGATCCAGAGTCATGGCATCAGGGTCTACTTGCAGCTTGGCGAGATCAAATTCATGATGATGATCTCCTGACTATTGCTGTGGTATTCCCTCGTGTCCGAGATCAAAACCCGAATGAACCGACACAGGCTGATGTGATGCTGATCCAAGGCCAACAAGATGGAGCACATGCACTTCGAGGAGGAGTTACCACAGTATACCTTCCTGGAGATGATCGCTATTATATTGGAGCTGCTTCCTATGCACGACACCTCAGTGGGATTGGCATCCTTGAGGGGGCAGATGCAGCCGATCTGCTCCAAACCCATGCATGCGACATCTTTCATGGAGGTACTGCAATACCATCCACATCGACTCCAGTGCATTGGACAATGAATGGTTACTCCTTTGTCGCCGTCTTCCATGACCTCACCGGCTCGCGCGCGACATCGTCGACGCAACGTGATCCGAGCACGGAGATCGCAATACCGTCTCCTGGTCTCTCGCAACCAGCGCCAGACGAAGGAGGAGAAGAAGAAAGCCCACGAGTCTCGACTTCAAGTTTTGACGAGGAAGACCTACAAGGCCTACAAGTTTTCAGACTTGGACAACCCGGACAACAACCTGGGCACCATTGCTTTGTCAGATGGAGATCGTACAACATGATTCTCTTTGACACCCTGCACTCCCTGGGCATTCACAGAGACCGGGCAGTTGGCTTCCACTATGTACAAGCTCCACTGATTGATCAACATGAAGCTGAAGAAGCAATCATTCTGCAGTTAGTTGGAGACATACCAGGTGGGTCAGCAGACAAACTGGTCCTCATTGACCTCACCTACCACACTGCGGGTCTGGATGCTGCACATCAGAGGATTGCAAAGAGGTTGCCAAGATTCCTGAGCCGCCCTTCCTTGATCATGCAGCTGCACCTACAGGCACCCTGTGAAGACAGTCCTGATTCATGCGTCTTCCATTTCAACAATGACTTGTGGAGTGATGATGACCTCTTTCCACGTGAATTGCAGCATGGCACATATTTGCGTGTAGACGTCACGGCAGATCCACCAACAAGAGCATGCGCCCCAGCAACGTCCTCACGGGTCGAAGTCCCTGCTGGACCCAGCAGACCTGATCCCCGCGGTGCTGTTGGGTCGACTGATGTGTCATCGTTCATGCAAAGGTCTCCAACATTGACAGATGATTCAAAATTGCTCATGAGCCACAGTGCCACCTTTCCAAGCCTAGCGGGCAGACAGGGGCCTGGTACTGGTCGCCATCACAACTCAAGGCGAATTGTTCAAGAACAGCACCATTCATGGATGCCCCAAGCCAAAATGAAGTTCCGCGAGTGTGCTGCAGTTGAATTTGATGATGAAGGTCCGGTACTTTATTGGACGACTTGGTTTCTTCATCACCAACGCTACACAAAGAGTTTTGAATCGCGCATTTTGCGCCTTGATGCAGCACATCGTTTCTGGTTTGAAGAACTATGCAATCTTTGGGTGGATGCAATGGACCCAAATCGACCTGCCAGAGTTGCTTTTGTGCACCCATCACCACCAGAAGCAGAAGACAGTCAACATGTGGGACATCTCATCCTGGTCCAAGGACAAGGAGCAGAACATCCAGTCCTCCTCACCGCTCTCTTCGACCACGCAGTCCACAGACGCGTCTGGCATTTGGCAGCTCTACAGCCGAACTATGTGAGTCAAGATGTCATCTTAGAAGATCTTGGCATTGCACGATGGTGCAACACTAGGAGGTGTCGACTGCAAGTTGGAGACGTACATCTAGGGCCCTTGGATCTTGTCCAACTGCAAGATGGAGAAAGCATTGTCGTCACCATCTCAAGCATGCAGCAGGTGACCACAGAGAATGATGTGTCCTCCCTCATGCAGAAGCACATACAGATTACGAGGAAAACACCATCAGATAGTCCCAGACAGCTGATGCAAGCGGCACCCCAAGCGAGTTCTACAATGCAGAGCTGTGGAAACTCTCAATTGAATCCCAATGCTCCGGCATTTGACCCGCGACAGCCAGATCTACGTACACTTCCAGAGTTCCAAGCAGATCTATGGGCTCATTGGGATCAGGAGGCTTTCGCCTGGGAGGATGAAGAACGGTCATGTACTATACTTACATGGTTCGTTGATCACACTTGGCAATGGCCACACTGCGATCTACCTCGAAGACTACAGCTCTACGAGGACTACCAGCAATGGGAAACCCACATCCTAAACAGATGGCAGGATGTCAGAGACCGCAGTGCCAATTACGAGATCTATGTGGTAGACCCCAGACCACCATCGCTGGATAATGACATCGCAGCCCATGTCATCATTATCCAGCGACCTCATGTGGCTTGGATCACCAACTTGGCCACCATCATAGATGAGACACAAGCACAACAGCAACCTGTTGGCCAAATCGCCATCACTACGCACGAACACGTACGAGCCGAGAACATTCTGATTGCCACATCGCTTGAAAGAGTTTGCCTACAACCACCTGCTCCCCTACGGTGCCAGGTTTGGTTTCAAGGATTCCAACTCCCCATGGGCATTCTGTTCCCCGGTCGCAGTGGCACAGGCATCGAGATTCATCTATGGCCAGTCATGCCGGCGATCCCCCAAACTGAAGGACACAGTTTGCTTCAAATCCACAGCAGCAGACGCAGAGAGGAAGAGCGCCAAACAGGCAGTGCGGTGGCTCATGCCTGCCGGCCTTCCCCTGTCAAACTACAGCTGTCAGACCTCCTCGAAGATGATAAGGCAAGCACTTTTGAAGGCCGTTCTTGGGGAGTGAAGCTTCAGTCTGGACATGAGGATATTGTCGTACCAGAGTACATCGAAGTTCTTCTGCCTGCTGGTACGCCGGAGATTGAACAGGAACTCCGGAGCTGGGGCATCATTTGTCGGGCCATTCAATTCACACCACATGACAAGTTTCTGTGCCTGCCACTTGATCACTGCTTCGAGCAGGGAACGTTTTCCTACATGTTCTGCAATGAAGATGTTCGCGATGAGCAGGGCTGCATCCTCCACACACAACATACAAGCCTCAACCACATTGAGATGATGAGCCTGTTGGACTCCCTGGGATATCCACGCGCAGTTGTTTTAAACACTGACCATCTCACATGCGGACTCATCCGAATCAGTTTCTGCAATAACATGCCCAAGCAAGCCATTGCTGAGCCATCACCAAGAGTCAGAACTGCATGGCCGTCTCGTGACATAGCGCATTGGGAAGAAGGACCTCTACTACCCAACGCTGAAACGACAGATGAGTCCGGACGGCACAGAGTATTGACTGGTTTTGACAACAAAGATTTGACTGAGTTGAGGGAAGCATCAGACTCCTTTCTGCAGAAGGACTTCACAGGCATTGAACTCCCGGAGTTCATCAAAGAGGCAGTCTGCATTCCACGCCAATATCAACAATATGACAGATGGCTAATCTACACAGATGGCTCTTCACAAACGTCTCTGAGACGACTGGCCCCTCAGCAAGCAGATGAGCGTGGCATGCCAGACACATGGGCCATGTTGGTCCTGAGAGAGAAGTTCGTAGATGAGGAGACATCAGTCATTGAACCCATCGGGTGGTGTGCACACCCAGTGAGGTATGATGAAGCAGGCGCCAGCTACACAGGGGCACAGCGAATAGGAGCAGAAGTTGCTGAACGTGATGCACTTATTTGGGCAGGATTGTGGCGGTTGTCACAAGACAGCATGACTCCCACAGTGTACTGCTGTGATGCCCTAACAAGTGGCAAACAAGCATTTGGGCTCATTGGCACAGGTGACGCTGACCACTCGTTCCGACTTCTTCGTGGACTGTTTCAAGGACTTGACCATGGACTCCCAGCAGGGCATCTTCGACTACACCATGTCAAAAGCCACGCGGGTGATCCGTACAATGAGTTCGTCGACCTGATGGCGAAACGAGAAGCCCACCAAAGTTTTCACCACAGGCGACCGCCATTGAACATGCAAAAGTGGAATCAGATCCTTCCCCACATATGGTTGCTCTTTGCCCAATCGTGCGGTCTCCCGAGATGGGTTAATGGAGCGCTGGCCACTGATCCACCTGACCTTCCTGTACAAGACCAACCCGCAGTCGCGGATGAGACCCCCACGGCCAATTTGAAATACTTTGAGTGCACTCTCAGTATGGCTTCTGCAAATGTCATGTCGCTCTCGAGGAGACCAGATGGATGCAGCGGTAAACTACACTTTTTGTTTGCCCAAATGCAACAATTTGGACTCAATGTCATGGGCATACAGGAGGGCCGTGCAGACCCATGCATGACCACCTCCCATGACATCTTGCGGCTTACTGGTGGACACTCTAACCACAATGGAGGTGTTGAATTGTGGATCAATTTGAAGCAGCCCATTGCAAACAGCCGAGATGGAGAAGCTGTATATTTTGCCAAAGACCAATTCCAGGTCGTCTTCAGTGATCACCGCCGCATGTTGGTCAAGGCTGACAACCTTCTCTTCACCTGTTGGTTTTTTGTAGGCCACGGGCCACACTCGGGGCGACCGCAAGATGAACGTGCAACCTGGTGGCAGCAAACCAATGATCTTTTGGCCGAGTACCTGGATGAAGCCCCGTGTTTCTGGCTCATGGATGCTAATGCAGCTCCTGGAGCGGCTGACAACCAAGTCGTATACCAGACTGGTTTGAAAACTTCAGCCAACACCGCATCCTTCCGAGCATCCCTGGAGAAGTTCGGCATGTGCTTACCTTCTACCACTTGTATTCACAGTGGCACAAGGCATACCTGGACATCCATTGATGGTCTGACATTACACTGCATTGACTACGTTGCAGTCCCATCGACCTGGCTGTCCTCATGTGTGTGGTCGCAAGTACTCGAGGACTTCGACCTTGCAACAACAAGAGATGACCATCAAGTTGTCGGCCTTGAGCTCCAATGGGAAATCGCTATGTCCCACAAAAGATCCCCACGACAGCCTGCAGACACTGAATGGTCTTGTGTTGAACAACGTCAAAGAGCTCGTGATCGTCTTGCAGAAATCGCAGTACCACCATGGAAGACGGACATCGAACTCCATGAATTAGCTGTGAGACAACAGCTCCAAAAGGCAGTCCAGCTCGAAAGTAAGCAGACCAAATCAAGACCCAAAAAGGCCTACGTTGACGATGCGATCTGGAGCATTCGTATGAAGCTTCTACAACATCGCAAGAGGCTCAAACAAACCCGGAAGGGACTTGCTCGTGAAGCTCTATTCAAAGTTTTCAGGGCTTGGTCTGGTACACTACCGGCAGTGCAAGTTGGTCAATCATTTAACTATGGTACAACATTGAGGATTGCGCAGGTTCGCCATATGGCTGGCTACAGAAAGCTGCGACTGTCATTGAGGTCACAACTGCAGTCAGCGAAACAACGCCTCATGACCCAAAGACTTGAGACCATCAATGAGCACACGGCCGCGCACAGCATCCTCCACATGTTGCGGGACTTCACCGGCCCGACCAACCCCAAAAAGGCCAAAAAGCATACGATCCCGCTGGTTCACAATCAGAATGGCTCCCCATGCAAATCGACAGATGAGGCTACCCAGACGTGGATCCAGTTCTTCTCTGACATGGAAGGTGGACAAAGACAATCGTCCTCAGAACTCAGGCAGGATTGGATCAAAAGTCTTCAGGAAATGGCACCAGCACCCTTCCAAGTACAAGCGCATGAACTGCCCACGCTGGTAGACCTTGAAGTGGCCTTCAGGCGAGTGGCTTGTGGAAAGGCGACAGGGCCAGACAGGATTTCTGGTGAGACATGCCATTACGCTCCGGAACAATGTGCCAAGGCCACCTTTGCAGCCATGTGGAAGCTTTGCCTATTTGGACATGAGGCATTGATGCACAAGGGCGGCCTCCTCGTGCAAGCCTACAAGGGCAAAGGAGATCCGAAACAGTGTGCCTCATTTAGATCACTGTTGATATCCAGCCACATCGGCAAAGCAGTCCATAGAACGCTTCGTGCACACCAGGCAGATGTGTTCGAAAGCTTTCTACAGGCCCAACAGCTTGGAGGCAGGCGAGCCATGCCTGTCACATACGGGCTGCATTTGACGCGAGCCTTCATGAGACAGGCGAAAGAACATGGGCACTCATGTGCTGTGATTCTGCTGGACCTCAAGGAGGCGTTTTATCGCATCCTCCGTCCTCTGTGCATGGATGGGCCGCTCACAGATGAAATGCTCGCCCGCCTCATGCACACCCTGAAAATGCCGGAGGACGCGCTGCAGGAGCTCCGGAAGATCATGGAGGAACCAAATGCGCTTCGAGAAGCAGGATTGCCCGACTTGGAGCAACGCAGTGTCCGAGCGGTGCACCTTCAAACGCATTTCTGGATGCGACACCAAACAGATGTCGTACAAACGTATCACGGCACCAGACCAGGTGATCCATTTGCAGATATTGTCTTCAGCTACGTATGGGCCCGAGTCATGCATCGTCTCCAACAATTTATGAAGCAAAATGATCTTCTCAGCACCTTTCCCAAGTTCAACCAGCTCTTGCTCTTTGAACAGCCTGACTTTGGATCCTTTCCTTCAGCAGATTTTGTTGGACCCACTTGGATGGATGACTTGGCCATCTGCCTGCAGAGCCAAACGGGAGAAGAAGTAGTCCAGAAGGTTGGAATTGTTGCCAGCAGACTCTTAGAGCTCTGCATCGAGCATGGCATGACACCGAACCTGTCCAAGAACAAAACTGAAGTGCTTCTCTCATTTCGTGGCCCTGGATCTCGCAAGCAGAAGAAAATTTTCTTTGGACCGCATGCTTTGGGCAGTTTGCCAGTTGTCACAGAGTATGGGACGATGCAGCTGCCTTTGACCACAACCTATGTACATCTCGGAGGACTCCTTCATCACGCCTGTGATCAACGAGATGAAATCAAAAGACGCCTTGGCATGGCTTTCGCCACATTGAATCACCACAGAAAATTGATCTTCCGCAATTGGACACTGCCGTTACAGAAACGCTGCCAATTGCTGGAGTCTTTGGTCCTTAGCAAGCTCCTCTACGGCGCTGAAACATGGGTTGTCACTGATGAGGCAACAGTTGCACACTTTCATGCTGCAGTGCTACGACTATATCGTCGACTCCTGCCGGTCTCACCTGACCAGCACATGGCTGATGATGAGATCCTGACTATGGTGCACATGCCAAGCCCCATAGAGCTCATTCGTAGAGCCCGACTACGCTATGTGGCGACCCTACATCACTGTGGAGAACGACAAGAATGGGGACTTTTGGCAGCTGACCGTGCATGGCAAGCTCTGATGGAAGCTGACCTTGAATGGATGTGGCAGCAAATTCGACATAGCTCGCAAATGCCAGATCCCAAAACAAGCTGGACACGATGGAGGGAAGTGATTGTCTTCCACAGGTCCTACTGGAGGCGTTTGACGCGCAGGACGTTTGAGCATGCGATCCTGCAAAGAGAAAACCGCTGGCGCACGCAAGTGTTCTATGAGCAGTTGACTGGACAACTTCGCCACACCCTCCAGTATGACCCTCATGAAAGCATTGAAACCAAAGAGCCAGCCATTTTTGGCTGCCTGCTCTGTAGAAAGAGATGCCGAAACCGCGCCGGTGAAGCTGCGCACATGTTTCGAACACATCAACAGGTAGCAAAACGCCGGCTACTGATAGATGACACAGTTTGCCCGGCGTGTCTGAAGAACTTTCACACCATGGGCAAGCTGAGTGCTCACCTGTACTATGCCAAGCACTGTCGAAGGACGCTGCACAGCCGGAACTATGCCTGCCACCTGGTCCCTGGCCAGGGATCTCATGATGACCACAAGAGACTTCAAGTGCATGATCGGCTGCTACCGCCACTACAGGCTGAGGGACCTCACCAGCAACCTTGCCGCCTGAGGGAGGAGACTGATGTGGACAACGACCTGCACATGTTCCTCATGGAGACCTTCCTCGACCTGGAGAATGTGGAGACCGCGATTCAGCACATCATGGAGGAGATGGCAGAGCGACCTACTTCCTGGACTACCTGGACGGCGACACTATGCTACTTCTTGGACACCTTGGAGGAGGACGATGCACAGCATTGGCCAGTTCCGCACCACATTGTGCAAGCCCGACTCAGGACTCTGCTGGCCCCGAGTTGCTGGAACCTTGACCGGCCGCTGGTCAAGCCGACCCAGGCTTTGGAGGACTTGGAGCAAGAGTGCAGAGATGTTGCAATCACTGACTGGTCTGCGGCGCATGAAGTGCCCAGAGATTTCTGCCGACACAGGGTCCTCTTGCACATCTTTTCCGGAAGGCGCCGTCCAGGAGACGTGCAATACTTTCTGGATCGCATGGACGGCCCAAGCCACTACCTCCTCCACGTCGTGAGCATGGACGTGGTGGTAGATGCAGTTTGGGGAGACGCTATGGCTGTCGGTACAAGAGACTACTGGACCAAAGCGGCTCTGGATGGATTTGTGGTGGCCTTTCTTGCAGGCCCGCCATGTGAAACGTGGTCAAAGGCCCGTGGACAAGGCAGTACCATGGACCAGAACCGCAAGCTCCCACGAATCCTTCGTACAGCTGAATACCTTTGGGGACTCCCCAGTTTGGCACTCAAGGAATTGGCTCAGGTGATGACAGGGAACCAGCTGCTCACCTTCACCTTGTTGATGGCTGCCACCATGGTCCAGACAGGAGGCTGTGGAGTCCTAGAGCACCCGGCGGAGCCCGACGAGGACATGGCAGCATCCATCTGGAAGGTGCCTGCAGTACTGGCCTTGCTCCAAGCACCTGGTGTACGCCGACACCGCCTGGCGCAAGGGCTTTTTGGTGCCCCATCAGCGAAGGCCACAGATTTGATGACAATCAACCTCCCGGACATCGTGCAAGACCTACGTCAATGGATGATCCGTAGAGAATTGCCACGAGGCTCTTCGATCGGCCTCACAGCCGAAGGCCAGTGGCGTACAGGAGTACTCAAAGAGTATCCACCTGCTATGTGCGGAGCACTAGCATCATCTTTCCGTCGTGCGATAGATCTGATCCCGACGAAGGCTGGTGTTGAGCCTCCAGCGGCTGATGTCGAGCTATGGGCGTCACTTACTGTGACACAGTACAGTGCCCATTTTGGAGCCGACTATGCGCGCTGATTCCACCAGCGAATTCAAGGACACCTGCATTGGCCGCGGCACAGAGCAGCAATGGGCCAGGAGGGAAAAAAAAATATATATACATACACATGGATATAATATATATATATATATACACAACATTATTCAACTATATTCCGTTATATATATATATATATCAATATGTATATATACATACGTATATATATATATATATCATAGTATAGCCCTTCCTATCATGGTTGGTTCCATGCTAAATTCAGGGGCGTACTGAAAAATTGACCCCAGAGTGTGGTGCCATCCAGGTCAAAGTTGGTGTTTTTCAACCCCATTAACGATGATAAACTAGGTCTACTACCATAAAGACCTGGTTAGCCTAAGGGCACCTGGGGGCAGCCGAGGTTGAGCCATAAAGGAGATGTGTGGTCCACTGGAACTCTGTGACATCCTCAGTGGGACATCTGGCCATGTGTCCGAAATCGCTCGAAATCTATAATGGTATTTACCCTCTGGTAATTTAACATAGCTATTGAAAATGGCCATAGAAATCGTGGATTTTCCCATTAAAAATGGTGGATCTTTCCATAGTTATGTTAGTTTACCAGAAGGTAATGGTATTTAATGGTGATTCATATTATGGTGTATATATATATATATAATGATAGTTATAATGGTATATAACTTACTGGTGCGGTGCTAAACGTAGGGTTGCTGGATGGGTTGCTGGGGGTTGCTGGGATGATGACATGACACGAATGTGATGAAATGGATCAGTCCCTCAAATTCCCTGCGTTTTAGACGCACCAGTAAGAAGAATCCCTTACACCAAACCAATGATTCCCGGATTGGACCAACGTTCCTCCCTTTTTTTTGGGGCTTGGACAGGCCTTCACGGACAGCCCATGGTTTTTTTTGGTCGAACCAGGATTTGGGAAATGTTCTCCGGCGGCAACATTCCATGGGCCAAGCCCTCAGAGATATCAATCCCAGCTATTTTGACGTGAACAAAAGGGGCCAAAAGGGGCTTTGACATATGACATATTTGCATAGATATGAATATATATATACTGTATATATATATATATATGTATTTACATAATATGTATATTGTTACATATGTATGTATATATACATGATAATTTGCCTGGAAAAAGTGCTTTCCTGTCAAATGTTCGCTTCAACTCCGTGAATAAACCATAAACTGATGGCAGAATCTCGAGCAGGTCAATTGGACCAAACGAACAGAGGTTGGGAGTTGGGAACTGGCGAGGTGTTCTGCGATCATCTGGGATTCTGTGGAAAAAAATGGATGGGTAGTTCAATACTCGTGTAATCTATACCAAGGAAGGATTGAAATACTGTAGTTGAAATAGTTTGCCCTCTGGTAATTTAACATAGCTATTGAAAATGACCATTTATAGTGGATTTTCCCATTAAAAATGGTGATTTTCCATAGCTATGTTAAATTACCAGAGGGTAACTACTGGGAAAACTTGAGTCGTTTTACATGGTGTTTAAGATTGGCGATGGAATGAATGAATGAAGAACGCTCGGGAGTTTTGGGCCACCAAGTTGGGTGTGTGTGTGAATACAACACAGAATCCTCCATGACGTGTGATGACCTATACCCAGAGGGGTGTGTGCAAAAGAAAATTGACTCATGATATTCCCTATGAAAGCGTCATAAATTGGACATACCCATAATCTCTAAGTGTATTGTGTATGATTATGGAATAACCCACCCCAAAAATGGTGCAGAAACGGTCTGATTGAAATTTACCACAGCAAGAAAATAGTAGCTACCAGAAAGATAGAAGAGTTATCACGATTTTTGAGTTGGCATTTGTTTTGTTTTCTATCCTGTTTGGGGGGTTCCATAGGGACCCTCAAATATATATAATATATTTAGTATAATAATATATATATATTATACATATGTATATATATATATTATACATTTATTATATACACTAGCTAATAAACCATAATTTTTCAATTACAGCCCCATATCCTCACTGAAAAATCCCATCGAATCTCGAATCAAGCCTCAGCCGCAGGTGGCTGCCAAGCTGAAGGAGTTGGCCGAGGCCACTCCAGGCAGTCCAGAGGCCACTGGGCCACTGGGCTCGGGATCGAAGATGATCAACAGGAGATTTCAAGGACTTTGCTGCATGGAAACTTATAGAAACATATAGAAACATATAATACTATGAAATACTTCAATTTACTGAGTTCAGGTGTTTTTTTGTGGCATCTTGCCGTAAATCCACCAGACATCGAGATTGAGGGACGTTTCTTTCTCTTTTTTGGGGCGGCCCAACCTTGGACGGATTTCCATACGACAACGTAAACTTGTCCGAAAAAAATGTGCAAACTGGCTAAAGATAATACCTTTTCCATGTACCAATGGAATATAACCGGATATTTTTGCGGGTTGGTGGTTCCGTTCTAGGTGGCATAATGACGCCGTTTGATTGATATGTTGCGATATGTTTAAGGGGATTGGAATCACCACCCGGATGGGTATTTGAGCCTTGAACTACTGTAGGTAAAGTTTGGTGAAGGGTAGTTCAAATAGATATACCATTTTGACGGAGATAGAACCCAGTCAAAAGTCTCATTTTCTAGCATGATATGTAAGGTTAGGCACATGTTCCATCGTCAAAAGTTCCAGTATATACTTACATCATCATTGACACGACCAATAGACCATAAAGAATTGGGGGTACTATATTACATCATATACTATTATGTGATTATATTGGGGATGGTTATAACGGGTACCACCATTCAAAGGGAATTATCATGGCCAAAAAAAGGAAAATCCTGATGGTCATAGCATGTGATTTGACCATGGTTCAGATCACCTATAGGAGATGTCTAAAAGGATGTAATGATGAAATATAATCTGGTTGGTGGTTTGGAACGTGAATTTTATTTTCCCATTCAGTTGGGAATGTCATCATCCCAACTGACGAACTCATATTTTTCAGAAGGGGTAGGTCAACCACCAACCAGTGATGAAATATAATCATCATACACGTATGTAGATGTTTTATGTTTCTTGGGATGAAGAGGATGGGTGTACTACATCAACTAAGCTGCAGGCCTTCTTTGATCCTGTTGCAGAGTTTCCTCCGCAGGAGGGGATGGGGGGAGTGGTTGTTCAGGTGTAGATTCCCTTGATTTCTCACCAATGGCTATTTCAAGTGGATTTCTAGCCATCCAAAATTGCGATTTCGCCATGAAATTCCTGTTCTCAGCAGGATCTAGCATTTGCTAGTTGCGAATGTTGTTAATTTGCCAACATTGGCCAACTGTCAACTGTAATCAGAAGATGGGGCATCTCCGCAATTCATGGTCAAAACCTCTCCAAAATTCGGGATTCACCAACACTTATGCCAATTCTTCATGGGGAATCTGTTGACAAAAATTGACCAGTGGATTTGCTGGTGATACATGGATACTTTCCGCCCTCGTTTCTCAGGAGGGCTACCCTGCAGAAGCCCACGATGGACTGATTTCCTGCTTGCAGGCACGCTGGAATGATGGAAAACATATGGAAATCATCACAGCCATGTTTCGCAAGGCAGATGATTCAGGATGTGTTTCGAAACATCGATAGACAAAAAGTAAAAAACTTTCGAATGCTGGTTTTTCTGTTCAAAAATTCATAAAAATCAAGAACTTTGTTGAGTTTCTTTTCATCTGAAAAATCCCCATAGAAAAACCATAAAACTCCATCCATTTCTATGGAGAGTTCCAGCACTTGGAGCACTTTTTCTAGGTCAATCTTAGATGGGTACAAACTAATCCTTTATAGTCTTTTGGTATCAATGGGAATATCTACGTTCACCAGCAAAGAATTTGTCATTTTTTGCAGGGTATCCCATTCTTTTTTTTCAGTAAATCCCATTCAATCCCACTAAATCACTAGATGTTCCCAGGATTTATGGTGATATACCCTCTGGCAAACGTTTACATAACTATGGAAAGGTCCACCATTTTTAATGGGTAAATCAACTATTTCGACTGGGTCATTTTCCAGTTCGCTATGTTGGTTTACCAATCTACCCTCTGGTAAACTAACAGTTTGCTATTGAAAATGGCCCCGTCGAACTAGTGGATTGACCCATTAATAGCATGGTGGATCTTTCCAGTTCGCTATGTTCTAAAATCCCAGAGGGTACAGTAAACCTCCATTTTCCTATGGTTTTCCTATGGTTTTCCTATGGTTTTCCTACGGTTTTTCTATGGTTTTCCTATGGTTTTCCCATTGAAACCTCCATTTTTGCAGGTGGATGAGGAGGCACGTCCCACCTTCGCAGACCTCGCTGAGCACTTTGAGCAAGTCATTCGCCTGGAGGCCGGGACAAGAGAGTGGAGAAGTGCCTGGCACAAGGTGGTCGTAATGTGGGTAAAACAATAAGAATAAATGGGATAATAAATGCGTTTTTCCTATGGCCCATCTGGATGTAGATATAGATATATGGTCCCTATCATATATTATCAATATCATCAGTTCCACTATATTATATTTTATCAATTTTCCAATATCAATATCACCTACATTCCAAATCACCTTAGGTCCCGAAAATGGGAATACCCTCTGGTAAACTAAGATAACTATGGAAAGATCCACCATTTTTCATGGGAAAACTCACTATTTCTATGGCCATTTTCAATAGCAAACTGTTAGTTACCAGAGGGTAAATGGGGATTATATACTGTTTATAGATGATTTTCCCATCAAAACCTCCATTAAGAAATGGGATTTTCCATGGCGAACTGTTAGTCATAACCAGATGGTAACTGGATTAATGCTGATTGGTAGTTTGAAACCATGGAATTTATGACTTTCCCATCATATTGGGAATGTCATCATCCCAACTGACTTTCGTATTTTTCAGAGGGATTGAAACCACCAACCAGTGTGTATATATATATATAATGGGCTTATACAATGGGATATACATTGTATAACTATTAATGTGGGTAAAACAACGTCAGAAACCACATACCTCACTGGGAATGGTAAGTTTATACCACCTCTAAAAATTGTGATGACTGGGGATGGTGCAAATGGCATTGTCTTACCCACATTTGATTGTTTGTAGCAACCAAAAGAAGATGCCCGCGTTTGTGTGAAATCCTGTTAGATGTAGTAGTGGCACTTGTTTTTTTTCTATCTTTTGGGTAGCTTGATATAGAGTGTTTGACATGTAGATAATAGGTAATATAATGAGATATATATATATATGTATAAATACTCTGATTTTTTTGACCTGAAAATGATGGGAAAAACATGGCTTAGCTGATGGTTCAGAAGATTCTATTGCCATGTCTTGATGACTCAGGTGCTTCTGTGCCTCTCTGCAGGGACATTGGATAACTTTACCAGTTTTTTTTCAGGTAGTCATTGGATTGGTTTGAGGGAAAATTGACACCGGAAACCATGGTTTTTCCCATTAAACATGGGGCTTTCTGGTGATTTGTTTCCCGACTAAACCAATGGATGTTTACCTGATTTACATGGTGAGATGTTCCCTCAGCTCATGGGGCTTTCTGGCAGACTCTGGTTCAAGTTTTCCCTAAAACCAATCCTTTCATGGGATTACCCTTCAGTAAATTAACATAGACCCTAGTAGTCATCGGGGTTGGAAGATTAGTGAAACCACTAAAAATTGGTGATTTTCAGGGTCGAACGGTTAATTTACCAGAGGGTAGTACGATCAACTCATGCTGGTTGGTGGTATGGAACATGTTTCTTCAGAAATATTGGGAATGTCATCATCCCAAGTGACGAACTCATATTTTTCAGAGGGGTAGGTCAACCACCAACCAGCATGTGTTTTCTGGTTAAAAATCGTCCTTGGAGCTGGTTCTAGTGGATGGTCGATGAAACTGACTGACTTTTGCGCCATGAAACTGGTGCAAGTTCGGCATGTTTTGAGCCATGCAGGGTGGTGCCCCAGTTCGTGAACGCTAAGCTGGTGCAAATAAGTCCAATGTCACTATGGTTTATGGGTGATATATCGAACTAGTTTTCATGGGATTACCCTCCAGTAAATTAACATAGACCCTGGCAGTCATCGGGGTTGGAAGATTAGTTTCCTCCAAAAAACGGTGATTTTCAGGGTCGAACTGTTAATTTACCAGAGGGTATAATCCATTTATACCGGGGGGGGCACCAGCTGCCATCCATAATCATCCGGCCGGTTTTTGAGTCTGGTACAATCACAATCCATCCCTTTTCAAAAGAAGATGTGGTACCAAGCATCCAAAGAAAACGGATAGAAAAGAAAAGACAAGAGTTCAAACACACAACATGCAGACAAGCAATCCCCCCCAAAAAAAGCTTGGCCAAAAAAACAGCCTACACAAATGATGTACATGAATATATAATAATCTGCAAAATCGAACGCACAAAAAGCACTTTTTTTAATGACCCCAGATCCCAGTCCCCCATCCCATTTCTCAATTGTTAAATCACAATCTTTATGCAATGTTTGATCGTTAAATCAAAATATATTCTTGGTTTTACAGTTATACATGTTTCAATACATGCATCGCATATCCAGTATATTTACAATTCCTTATTAGTTGATTCTTGATGATTAAGACTCGTGTATTGCTTGCTTACCCTACTACTGTTGGTTGATTACCCTCCAAAAAAAGGTGAAAGTGGCTCAAAATGCGTTGAGCACTCACAATTTTCCGTGGTTAAAGACACAATGTTCAGTGTTCAATCATATTAAATCACCATTTTCATATATTTTCATCATTTTCCATGGTTCAAATCATCATGTTCGATGGTTCAATCATGTTAAATCGACCGTTTTCCATGGTCAAATCATAATGTTCCATGGTTAAACCCAGCATTTTGTCCCAGTTTACTTCAGCAGCTCCAGGCCCAACGTGCTGAAGAGCTGGCCCTTCACACGGCCCGAGCACGTGAGGCGGAAGAGGCGAAGAATAAGAAGGACTGGATTTCATGGAGGTTTCTATGGTGATTTCTATTTGGTGATTTCGTGGGAATATCATGGGTAACATATTGGGATATGGAGGTTTCAATATTTCAATGATAGTTTTAAAACCAACACAACTGATGTTTATGATATACATGTCTATAGTTATGATACATAGCGATATATATATATATACGGAGGTTTCCTAAACCATAAAACTATTTTCATTGGAACTGATTTTCATTGAACCATGTTAAAACTGGTGAATCATTCATAAATCAAGATGGACTTGGACCTGGTGGACCTCATATGCTCGGAGGTTTCCTAAATCATGGGGGCTAGCTCCGAAAAATCATCCATTTTGCGATTGTCCATGAAATAAACCATCCAGCTATTGGGGTATCCCCTTTTGAGCGTTCAAAAATGTCTTAAACAAATTTATCAAGGAGTTAACCTATGGTGTCTCCGCGAAAGGAAAATAGCTGGGCGCGAAAGCTCGCGAAATAGCTTCGCGAAAGAGCCTCAGAAGACATGCGCCGCAAAAGCGCCGCGAAAGTACACTTCCCAACATCACATGTTCTCCACTAAAGCGCCGCGAAAGTAAATAACAACAACGATGTCCCTGCAAAAACTAAAATGGTGGTCGCGAAAGCTGCGCGAAAGCAATTCTATAGGTTACCCTCTGGTAAACTAACAGTTTGCTATTGAAAATAGCCATAGAAATAGTGGATTTACCCATTAAAAATGGTGGATCTTTCCAGTTCGTTATGTAACAGTTTACCAGGCCGGGTAACCAGTTGATCAAGATGGAGATGGACCCGATGGACCCGATGTTTATGTTATTTTTTGGACATCAAAAATATCAGTGCAATGAAAAGGTTGAGCCAAAGACACAACATGTGGAGACAAACAGATACCCGGCCTGGTAAACTGTTACATAACGAACTGGAAAGATCCACCATGTTTAATGGGTAAATCCACTATTTCGACTGGGCTATTTTCAATAGCTTTTTGTATGTTTACCAGAGGGTAAACCAATAAGAATGAGAGGATTCGACCACGGCTCAGGTCAGTGAATGATTCAACGTGGAATTCCCAGTTGGTGATTCCCTAAAATCTCCACGACATGTGCCGAGAGATCTTGATGGAATCTCCGCTAAGCTTGATGTTGGGTTGGATGTTAGAATGCCTCCAGTACTCAAGCCTGGCTATGGAAAATCTGTCCCGTATACATATGATTTCATATCATGTTATACTTTACTGTACATTGAATTATATTATATTATACTAATTTATACTATATTTTTTTATATTATATTATATATATTATATCACATGTTTATATTATATTGTATATTGTATTTGTTATATTACATTATATTAGATTATATCTCACTTTCCATTATTATATTATATTATATTATATTGTATTAGATTATATTAGATTATAATTATTATATGATATGCTTTAATATATTATATTATATTTTATGTCATTATATTATTCTGTTTTATTACATTACATTATATTGTATTATATGATATTACATTACATTGTATTTTATTATATTTTATTACAATATATTCTATTTTATAATATATTATAATATATTATATTATATTACATTGTATTATATTATACTATCTTATATTATATTATATTTTATTTTATTATACTATATTATATTATACTATATTATATTATTATATTATATTGTATGATATCATATAATATTGTATTATATCATATAATATATCAATTTCGTAGTTGTTTTTCCTCTTGAGCACAGTGGATGGGAGACCGCATATTATAGCGCCGTGAGGAGGTTGCAGAAGAGATTCCACAGGAGGAGGTCCGTCCAGTCCCGGACAAATTTTCCCATTTTTATTTGATTGGTTTAAGGGAATTGTTTAACCGGAACCCCCCCCCAATATTGAATTGTAAAAACCACGGTTTCCGATATAGATTTTCCCTTAAACCAATCCAATGACATTTGGGAACGGAGTTTTAATCTACTGATCATTTACCCAGATGGGAATTTTAAGCGGCTTTGCTGATGATCTGATGATTTCTTTGTTGATCTTTGGAATGATTCGGAATAACTATAATCGAGTAATTCGAGAATGTCGAAAGTCTAAATCGGGAACACAAGTTCTGACTTTTTATGGCAGAATTGGGCCCTTCTTTCAAAAAGAGCAGAAACTGAGAGTTTTGCTGGAGCGTTTTAGGCTCAAAGGTTATAGTAAAACAAAAAGATCAAAGGCCATGAAGCTGCTCAGTGTGCTGCTGGTGCCCGCCTTAGCCGTGCCGTCCTGCCTGAAGGAAGGGACTCTGGGGAAAGATCCCTTTCTTCCAGCACCCAGCTGCTTGGCATTTTCCAATCTTTTCCATATTGTCTACTAGAAATGGGAGGATCTAGTGAGAATAGAATCTCTTGGGGGGAAACTATTGGGGAAACCATAGTTCCTCATGTTTTCTGAGGTTTTTTGAATGCGTTCAATCCTGGATCCTCGATGTTGTCATCTGTTCATGCTTGGTTCAGCCCAGTGAACATTGCTCCATTGGATCCTCCAATCCGCCCTAGGCATGTACGTGGCCAATTGGGCTTCCTGCGCTCAGAACTGCGAGAAGAGTTTGCTGTGCAAAGAGTTCTCCTATAAGGAAGCTGGTTGGAACATATTTTCCATATAGGTTACCTTTATTTTCCATATTTACCATAGGAAAATAGTGGTAAATCTCCTATAATATGGAAAATGAATATGGTTTGCTGGTTGGTGGTTTGGAACATGAATTGTATTTTCCATATTTACCATAGGTAATTTACCACTATTTTAACATTTACCATAGGTAATTTACCACTAATCAATGATATAACAAAATTTACTGGTTGGTGGTGACTGGAACCATGGAATTTTATGACTTTCCCATCATATTGGGAGTTTCATCATCCCAACTGACCATCATTTTTCAGAGGGCTTGAAAACACCAACCAGGAAGATACGGCGCCCAGTAAAGGCGGATGTTGGCTCTTCAACAAGGTGAGGGACTCCGGTCGGTTGCGAATGTCGGATGGTGGATAGCAATTTATTGGATGAATCGTTGAATTATATGGCGGCTCAAAGTGGCTGTATTTGATACTTGATATGGATGGTGATTGATATTGATGTTTGATGGAAAAAAATCACTACAACCATGGGATATGACTAGCAATAGGTTGACACCCCACAATTTGTTGGGATATAAATGGTAGAAGCCCTATAAATTCAGATTGGCCATATTTCTTTTCTGGTGTAAACCTCCAACAGTTGTGTGAACTTGCTGCCAGGCGAATGTCAACTTTGATGAGGATGCCAAGGCTGTGACAGGCGACAAGACTTGCCAAGACACTGAGGCTCGAAGCCGCAAATGACTCAACAAATCAGCTGCAGCCAATAAACATTGGCCTCTTTTTTGGGGGGCAACATATTGGCAAGAAGATGATTAACCTTGATGAAGCATGAAATTCTTGGGGTAATGTTCAGAGAAAACCCATATCGATGGCCATATCTGCAAATGTGTTCCTCCTTCATTGACATTCTCCATATTGACTTTAGCAATGTTTTCCGGAGAAACCAATCAGCAAGATTACCCTCTAAACTAACTAACATGACTATGGAAAATCACAATTTTTAATGGGTAAATCCACTATAAATGGCTATTTTCAATAGCTATGTTTGTTTACCAGAGGGTAACCATCATTGGTTGTCCTAAATCCACACGTCTATTGTTCATTTTTTCCGTTGAAACGGGTGTTTATCGGCATAATATTATGTTTCCTCGTATAAATCCTCATTAGTCTCCTTGTTTTGTTTCTAAAGACTATATGTTTCATGGCTTCAGCCCAATTCTTCATTGTCAAATCACCATGTTTATCATGTTCCATGATAGAAATCACATTTTTTCTCGTAAAATCTAGGTCAACCTTGGATGAGTAGAAACTAATCCTTCAATATTTTGCAATAAATAGGAATATCTACGTTCACCAGCTAAGAATTTCTCATTTCTTGCAGGGTATCCCATTCATTATTTTCAGTAAATCCCATTCAATCCGACTAAATCACTAGATGTTCCCAGGATTTATGGTGATATACCCTCTGGCAAACGTTTACATAACTATGGAAAGATCCACCATTTTTAATGGGTAAATCAACTATTTCGACTGGGTAATTTTCCAGTTCGCTATGTTGGTTTACCAATCTACCCTCTGGTAAACTAACAGTTTGCTATTGAAAATGGCCCAGTCGAAATAGTGGATTGACCCATTAATAGCATGGTGGATCTTTCCAGTTCGCGAACTGTTCAATTACCAGAGGGTAAACCTCCATTTTCCTATGGTTTTCCTATGGTTTTCCTATGGTTTTCCTATGGTTTTCCCATTGAAACCTCCATTTTCCATGGTGAAAATCTTCCCCCAACCCCTGTTACCCCACCAGGCCAGCGCCGCCGCCGCCGCGGCCGTGGCCGCCGCAGCGCAGACGGGTCCGGCGGCGCTGTCGGACGCGGCGGATGCCACGGTGGAGGGAGCGGCGGCGAGCATCACACCGGAGACTTGGGGGAAGATGAAGGGCTGTATCCCAGATTTATCTGGTTGGTGGTTTGGAACATGTTTTTTCCATCATATTCAGTTGGGAATTTCATCATCCCAACTGACTAATATGTATCTGTTTACCAACATGTGCCCTAAAAATCACCCAAATGTAGGTAAATATACCATACATGGAGCATATGGGCCATATTTATCTGGTTGGTGGTTTGGAACATGAATTTTATTTTCCCCAATAGTTGGGATGATGATCCAATCTGACTTTCATATTTTTCAGGGGGGTTAAAACTACCAGCCAGTTATCCGATTCCATCAAGATGAATAGATTATCTCATGTTTATCTTCTATCTCACATATTCTATGATTATCAATCTATTGATGGTGCATATGTCATGACTGGCAGGTATATCAGTATATCCCATTTATATGGTGATGGGTCAAAACCTATTATGATCCTAGTTGGGGGAATAAACATCCATTAAAACCAGCGTTTTTGTAGGATGCCTAGGGTTCCATAGATAAGATCAATGGTTACGCTCTGGTAAGGAAACATAGCGAACTGGAACATCACCATGTTTAAAGGTCAGATATCAACGATTTCTATGGCCATGTTCAATAGCTAAAATTACCAGAGGGTCATGGCGATATTCCATGAATGGCAGGGTCTATGTCAATTTACTGGAGGGTATATCACATTTATATCGTTATGGGAAGATCAGAGGGTATAGCCATTACACAACCAGTATATCATAGCAGGGGTATTCCCATCATATTTCCGCATATATGTCATGTGGGTTTGTCTGAAAATGGAGTATGCCCCAACATGGCCATTTTCATAGGTGTTTCATGATGATTAGCCATCAAATTTGGGGCTACCCTATTTTTAGAGAACCCCATTTATATATAATTATATATATAAATAGATATTGGTATACTAATGTAATATTAATGATTATGTTTATTATGTTATATCCCATACAATAATGGGATATCACAATGGGGATATACTGATTCTATATTGGGAATAGTATGGGCATATAATTGTTATAATATGCCCAATGGGGAACCTATAATCGGGGAAGATTATTGGAATACCCCTGCTATGATATACTGGTCATGTAATGGCTATAATCATCGGGATATTATCATGGGGTATTTTAATTGGACATTGAAGCAGTTGGTGATGCTGAGATTTTGGAAGCATAAATCTGGCGGGTTTTTTTTCGATGTTTAGGGCTTTAAGTGGTTCTTTTCATGGCTTTTTGATCTGGATTTGGTCAGAGATTGTTCAACTTGGAATCTTCCAAAGTGCAATTTTTCTGGGCCCAACTGGCTGTGAATTTGGGTCATTTTCCACGTGGGATCGGCCACCAGAGGGGCCCATGATTCACCCGATTTTTGCGGATTTTGAGACCGCGCATTTCCACCAAACTTCAGAAGAACAACGTTCACAAATCAATTTTTCATGGCAACATGCATTGACCATACAACATTTTGATATTACCTTCGTCCTTTCCGGTCAGGCTCTGCTTGGAACCCCATAACACCTTCTGTCCAGGGGAATTTTTAAGAAATAAGAACCGGATTTTGAGACCGCTGATGATTTTAGGGGACTTTGGGTTGTTGAATTGCATGGGAAATGAGTCTGAGATAGTCTGAGTGATTGCTGAAGTGATTGTTGGTGTGTTTTTTTTCCGTTGATGGATGGAAAAAATCATGGCAATGGAATCTGTTGGGAAATGGTTTGATGAATTGGGGGCTTTAAATGCGCCGGTTAACCACTTGTGGCCGCAAACGCGGCCGAATATCAACCGTGAGTCGGCGGTTTTCTCCCCGAATGGATTACAGTGATTACAGGTGGAAATGATGGGGTAAATAGTCGCGTGATCAATCCAATAACTGGTTGGTGGTTTGGAACAGTTTTTATTGTTCCATATATATATAAATATAAATATATATATATATATAAATATATATATATAAATATATAAATATAAATATATATATATCGGAATATTCATCCCAACTGACTAATATTTTTCAGAGGGGTTGAAACCACCAACCAGATAATTAAATGAGACACTGGACCATGAAAATGATCGATTTCACATGATAACTTTACCATGATTTCACAATGCAGATTCCTAGGTGTTCGCCCTTTTTTATATCCAAGGATGGCGGGAAGCAAAAGTCCATGCTAGCCGGATCTTCTGGCCAAGATCATACCGTTCTCTACTGCGTGCTTGGTGGAGCGGCTGCAGCCGCACTGATTCTTGGATTTGCGGATGGGTCTGATTTTTTTTGTCTGTCGTTTTTGATCCACCAAGAACTATACCCGGCCTGGTTTTTACATACAAAAAGCGAACTGGAAAATGGCCCAGTCGAAATAGTTGATTTGGCAATTTTTATAGCATGGTGGATCTTTCCAGTTCGTTTTCTGTTAACGTTTACCAGGCAGGGTAAACCTCCATTTTCCTATAGTTTTCCTATGGTTTTCCTATGGGTTTTCCTATGCTTTCTGTTAACGTTGACCAGGCCGGGTGGCCCGGTATGGTGAAGCCACTTCCGTCATCTCGTCCTCTCGTTCCCAGGATCGCCGCCGGCGGTTACGCCATGATGCCCGGGCAGAAGGCCCGCAAGAAGCGCACGCGCACGGCGCCCGCGGCGCCCGCAGCGCCTTCCCCGGAATCGACGGCGGAGGAAGCACCGGCGTTGGAGATGCAAGCGCCTGGGGCTTATCTGTTGCCACAGGCAGGCTTCGTACCCCAGGCCTTCCAGTACTCACAGGTGTCGGGAAAGGGGAAAAATGGAGATGGTTGAAAAACAAGCCTGGTGAATGGTTGGGAAGATAAGGTAACCGTCTCACTAGGGTATCACTATGTTTACTTTTTGGGGAGAGTTAAATGTTGCGCCAGTTTTTTTTAACGTACCAGTTGATATAGCTGTCCCATGCCCCATTTGTCCCCCAAAATGGCTGAAATCCTCAAAAATCCGCAACGTTCAAGACCTCCAAGTCTCGAAAAAACCCTGACAGGGGCAGTACATGGCCTACCAGCCGGGAACATTTCAGGCCTATCAACCAATGGCTTACCAACCCATGGCTTATCAGCAGCCCATCATGGAGCCCACGACCTACATGCCCACAGCATAGGGCCCATGGCGGAGCTTTGACGTTAGAAACGTAGAACTGGCTGTGGCTCAGAAGTAAATCTCAAGTTCTTAAGTTGAGCGAAGTGACCACATGGCAGATATGGTACCATCTGGTAAACATACAAAAAGCTATTGAAAATGGCCATTAATAGTGAGGTTTCCCATTCAAAATGGTGATTTTCAATAGCGATGTTTGTTTACCAGAGGTTAAGTGTCCTTCAACTTTGAGCTATACCCAACTCAAGTCCAAATTCATTCTGCTGCAAATTCCTGCAGTTTGGGACGCAGTCGCCAACGGTCGCCATACTCGCTGGTGGCGTCCCTCGCTGCACTACAGATCCAGCCTGACAAGAGAGAGCTGGAACTGCACTGAATGCCCCGTGCGAAGTTACACGAAAAGAGGCTGAGTAGTTATGAGATGTTAGAACACAAGTAATAGGACTTGAATGTCGTTTTTTGCGTATGTTGGTTTGAGAATGTTTGATATCTATATATATATATATACATGTAATTAATTATAATTATATATATGTTAATATTATATAGAGACACATTATATTATAATATATATATATATTATTTATATATATATATATATATCTATTTATTTCTTTATATATATTATATTTATGTATATATTATATATGCGTGTGTGTTACTTGTACCTTCTAGTTGAGATGATCGCAATTGACGATCCTCCAGGTCACCGTGCCTCAATGGTCGTGGGTGGCCCCAAAACTGTGCTGCCGTGTCATTTTCAGCTGTGATTCTGTGGGGCTGTCATCAAAACATATCAAAACTGTGAAGATATATGAACATAATATGCAGATATACATGTATAGAAAATGTGGATACCCTCTGGTAAACATACAAAAAGCTATTGAAAATGGTCATAGAAATAGTGGTTTTACCCATTAAAAATGGTGGATCTTTCCATACGTTAGTTTACCAGAGGGTATATATGTATTGTAGATCTACATTTATAGCTATACATGATTATACATGTACATGATATACATTAATATAATATACCCATAATTTCATAATTGTTTGATGGTTTCAGATATGGATGTGCTGAATAAGCCAAAAGGGGATGATTGCCTGAGATGACCCAGTCGCATATATAAATTGGGGATAGCTTGAAGCTGCCAACCGGAGAAGTGATCCAAAAGAATGTGATATCTACATGTGCAATAAATGTATATCAAGTATATATGTATATAATATATAATATATATATATATATATCCATGTATGATATACACAAAAAACACCTACATGATCCAAAAAGTTGATTTCGCCTCCAGTAAATTTCGACCCTGTGGCCGAGTCTCAGGCAGATGGCAGATAGCGCCGCCGCCATGTCTCCAAGCTCCCGCACGCCTTCTACGGTGGCCTGAGAGCCAAGTGACCGGATGATTTTCCCATGGAAAAACACGATTTTCCCACGAAAAGACAATGATTTTCCCGTGAACCATCGTGATTTTGCCATGTTTCTTGCCATGAAAAATGGGACATCGTGACCTCAAATAGTCATGAAATCCCCACAGAAGTGGTTGGTGAAATCCTCATCAAGTTGGGTAAATCCCATCACTTCCCATCCATGTCCTGTTGTGCTTAGATTTGTCCAGATTGGATTCCCATCTTTGCGATGTGTTTTCCTGGTTTGCCGAAGTTGTTTTCCCACACTTTTCCGTGGTTTCTCCATGTTCCCCATGGTTTCCCACGTGTAAACTAGGTGTTTGTCCTAGTTTTTTTGACAAATTTCCAAGTTTTCATAGCTTTTTTCCACCATGTTTTCCTGTTTTCCCGGGTTTTCTCAGGGTTTCAAGTCGCCCGAAGCCTGGCCTCTGGACTTCTGAGGCGTCTCCTGAAGCGAAGACCTTGTTGGGTCATGAGGCTGATCAAGGTGATCTGGGTTGGCTGAAATGGGATGGATTTATGGATATTTGGCGGGTGAAATGGCGAAAACCATGGGGTAGTCAGAAGGGATTTACCTATGATCTTAATGGATCTGATGGCTAGAAAATACCTCGATGATATGCCACTGCTAGGTTTGATGAGCTGATTTTTCCTGGGGATTTCATGGCTTTTCAGTGGGAAAAAATATGGTGGTTGGAGCATCAGAAAGAACGAAATATTGTGGAAATTTCAGTGGTACAACAATGGGATATGTGAGAAGATCAGAGGGATATATCGGAAAAATATGGAAACATGATCCAAAATTTGTTTCTCGTGGAGGGATTTGATGGGATTTGTCATGGAATTGTCATAGGATTTTTGCATAGTAATGGGATGATAATAGTAACTCATGGGATAGTGGGATATAATATGGAAAATAGGGATAAGAATTACTTGGTGGAATCATCCCACGGCAATTTTTGTTGCGTTTTGTCCAAAGAAAAAATCATCATTTAACCAACAAGTGGCTGGTTGTTGAACATGGCTTAAGTGTCATGATGATGACTTGAAATAAATCCCACTTGGCGCCATGCGCGGTCTGTGATGTTTGATGGAGCCGAATTATGATTACCCTCTAGTAAACATACAAAAAGCTATTGAAAATGGCCTATATATGTATAGTGAGTTTTCCCATTAAAAATTATGTTTCCCATTAATAGCATGGTGGATCTTTCCAGTTCGCTATGTAAACGTTTACCAGAGGGTATCCCATTCTATCCGTCATGATCTTCCAGTCAAAACCACGTATAGAATGGGGGGACAGGTGGACGGGAAATGATCGGCAGGTGCAGTGGTGCGCGCTAAGAGTCAAAGGTTGGCACAGGTGGGCGGAGTTTTTTTGCGGTCGATGGAGATGGGGTGGCAAAGAACAAGAAACGATGGGCAGTTGGAATCTAAAAATGGTGACTTAACTGGTTTAATTCATAAAGAAACAGCAAAATGGGTGTTTGTGCACTTGATTTATCATAGATAAGTTGGTAAAAAAAAAAATGACTTATAGGCTAACCATTGGTTTTTTGGTAAACAGTACATACTGTCTGGTAATTTAGCATAGCTGTTGAAAAAATGCTCATGTCTAGTTGATTTACCGATTAGACATGGTGATTTTCCACTTCGCTATGTTAGTTTTACCAGAGGGCAAATCCACAATCTTTGACTGGTTGGTGGTTTGGAACATGTTTTATTTTTCCATATATATGTATGTATATAGATATATATATATATATTGAGAATAATCATCCCAACTGACGAACTCATATATTTTTCAGAGGGTAGGTCAACCAACCACCAACCAGACAATCTAATTGATGATTTTCCATACATCTTTTTCATTGGTAAATCATCAGTTCGTCCCAAGCTTTTGACGGTTAATCCCCAAGGTTTTTCGCTCTCTGCGGCAAAGTTTGCTAGTATGCTGTGTAACCTTGGGGCTTTTTTTGTATGTGGCCATTGGTCATGGTTAGAGATAAATGGCATGATCCAATGCCCATATAAACATGACCAGCTTCAATTGGCTGAGGCGATTTAATCGTGACTTTTTGGTATGTTCCCATTTGCGAAATCCACTCGAAATGGGGAATGGATGACGGCAATAGGTTCTATTCTCTGGGATCATGGTGAGCAAATACAAGTATATAGGTTTAAAAGATACGACCCTCCTGTAGACTAACATAAATGTGGAAACCCCACCACTTGTGGAGAATTGTCCGAACGGGGAAGACCCCTAGGTTTCCACATCTATGATCATCTATGTAAACGTTTACCCTCGGGTTTCCTTCATATTTACTAGCTGGTTTCTAACCATGCTTAATAAGTCCCCTAACTTGGAATATCCGAATATCCCATTGGGAGGTTTCCCCAAAGTCATGGGGGGTACCCCCAAATCATCCAAGTCATGAACGACCATCAGTGCTGAAAGCCGACTCGGGGATAAAATAACTGGGGAAACCAACCCCAATAATCATTGGATTGGTTTTGCTGGGAAGATCTTATCCGGAAACCATGGTGTTTACATGTTTTTACAAAGTGGGGCCCCCTAGATAGCTAAGTTGGTTTATAACTCCAATAACTATGGTTTATGGTATTTATAACTATAGTTATTGGGGTTTATAAACCAACTTATAACTAGGGGGGCCCACATTGTACCATTTACCAAACAGGGGGGTTCCTGTATTTGTTTCCACGAGGTGCTGGGAATCGGCTCTGAAGAAGTCGTGACGCTGATTACGCAGCAGAAGGAGCAGCGGTCGTCAAACGACAACGGAAAAAACCAACGAAACGCGGTCTTGGTGAAGATGTAATCTATGTGTATTGGCACTTCGATACAGCTACTACTATTGACAATTGAACACTACACCACTATGTATATGATTTATATCTAGATATATATATATATACATAGTCTTAGTATGAACATATACAGTGTGTATATATATATATATATATGAGAGAAAGATAGAGAGACGAATAGGTACCTACTCCTACAATCTCAAATGTTGGGGTTGCAGTCACACAGATGGGGATGTGGGATATTGCCTAGTAAAAAAGAGTCACCTCAGAATCATCATCCTCTAGCTTCAAAGTTCAAGATACAGATAGATGTCAAAATCGAGTACCCAGAAAATTGGATGGATAGTTTTACCCTCCAAGAAAAATGCCAAAGATTCAAGATAGATATTGAAACATATCCAGAATTGGATGCTTTCATGCCTGTACAGGGGTTCCTGAGTCATGGGGGTACCACCATCCAGTCGTCATGGATGACCATCACTTAGTATTGAAACCTTTTCTCCTGATTTGGGATCCTACTTTTTCAAGAAACCCCCATGATAATCCCATTCTATTCCCATTCTATTCCATAATTTGACTAGAGATTTGCCAATCCCCCACATTTTAAATCATTATCACTTAGTATTGAAACCTATGGTGATTTGGGCTCCTACATTTTAAAATCATTCTAGGAAACCCCCCAGCTGTGTCGCTGTCTTTTTTTTTCGAACCCCGTGTCGCGTCGTGTCGCCGTGTCGATCTTCGACCAGG